TCGTCGCAGCCCTCGATAAGTACGACTTCGATTCTGAGCTCGGAACCAAGGTGAGCTTTCTATTTCATTTAGTCAATTTATCGATTGATGGTATTTGCTTCGATTGATGGTATTTGCTTCGATTGGGTGCTAATTTTAGTGATGATTTTAGGCAATGCTTCATGTCTATGGTTAGAGATTGAGTTGTTGAGGTGAAAGATATTGTCTTTTGAGTTGGATATGTGTCTTTTGTTCCAATTCTTTTTAAAATTTCGGGATGCATTCCATGGTGGGTTCGCGAGGAACCCAGCTCACGAGTTCACGATGAACCCAGGCGCCTGGGTTCATCGCGAACCTAGGAGCTGGGTTCCTCGCGAACCCAGGAGCTGGGTAGCCTGCGACGAACCTAGGAGCTGGGTAGCCTGCGACGAACCCAGCTCGCGGGTTCGCAATGGGTAGCTTGCAAGGAGCCCAAGCTCTTGGAGAGCCTGGGTTTGCCTGCGGCGTAAGAGGAAAAAAAAGAAAAAAGAAAAAAAAGGTCGGAGGAAGTGGAGTCCACGTGGATGGTGACGTGGATGATGATGTGGGGTCCATGTAAGCATTCTTTACCTGTTGGCATATCCACATCAGCTGTTTCAGTTAAGTTAACGTTACACGTGAGCAAAAATTAACGGAGGGACCAAAAAGGGTCCGGATTTGTGAACAGTAAGGACTAAAAAAGGGATTTTTTCGGTACAGGGATCAAAAAGGGGCTTTTTCCCATAGTAGAGGGACCAAAAAGGGTATTTAACCTTAGGAAAACTTTAGATATTCTGAATGATCACTTCTTTTGGCCACACATGAAATGTGATGTTGAAAGGATCTGTGAAAGGTGCATAACATGTAAACAAGCAAAATCTAGAGTTTTACCACATGGTTTGTATACTCTTTTACCCATATCTACTGAACCTTGGGTTGATGTATCTATGGATTTTGTTTTGGGCTTACCAAGGTCAAAAAGAGGCCACGATTCTATTTTGTTGTTGTTGACAGGTTCTCGAAGATGGCACACTTCATTCCATGTCATAAAACTGACGATGCAACCAATATTGCGGATCTATTCTTCAAGGACGTTGTTCGTTTACATGGGATTCCAAGGACTATTGTTTCTGATCGTGATGTCAAGTTCTTGAGTTACTTTTGGAAGACATAGTGGGGAAGGCTGGGAACTAAGCTACTGTTTTCGACTACTTGTCATCCACAAACTGATGGACAAATAGAAGTGGTTAATAGGACGTTGTCAACCTTATTGCGTTCTATTATTCAGAAGAACTTGAAGAACTGGGAAGAGTGTTTGCCGCACGTTGAATTTGCTTATAATCGGAGCATCCATTCAGCAACTAACTGGTTGCCATTTGAAGTTGTGTATAGTTTTAATCCACTCACTCCTTTAGATTTATTGCCTTTACCTATTGTCGAACAAGCTAGTTTGTATGGGAAAAAGAAAGCTGAAGTGGTTAAGCAACTGCATGAGAGGGTGCGACAAAACATAGAGCAACGAACTGAGCAATATGCAAAACAAGCCAACAAAGGACGCAAGAAAGTTATATTTGAACCTGGAGATTGGGTTTGGGTGCATATACGCAAGGAGCAATTCCCTGCACAAAGATGTTCTAAGCTGCAACCAAGTGGCGATGGACCATTTCAAGTGATTGCGAGGATTAATGACAACGCATTCAAGTTGGAGCTTCCTGGTGAGTATAATGTTAGTGTTACTTTTAATGTTTCTGATCTTTCTCTTTTTGATGTAGGTGACGATTTGAGGACAAATCCTTTTGAGGAGAGAGGGAATGATGGGAATCAAGACAACAACATATCTACTACGTCATGTGATCCATTACACACCCAAGGAGGTCCAGTCACGCGAGCTAGAGCTAAGAAGATGCGTGAAGCTTTAAATGGCCTTATTGAGCAGATCTGGGTTGAAAACAACATACAACAAGCAAATCGAAGCTTGGATGATTATCAAGGCATGGTAAACATCATTCAGGTTCAAGAGAAGCTTAGTTGAGGTTCTTTGCATGAAATTACACAGTTTGCGTCAAAATCGCACAATTCTGTCGTAATTTGTAGCAAACTGATATTTCATGTTGTTTTAGATTATTTTTAGTGATTTTCACCTTTTTTGTATTATTTTTGGGCTGAACATTCGCTTATTTGAAGCCCAATTCGTGGTTATTAGGTTTAGGACTTAGGGTGTTAGTTTCCTATTTTGTTTAGGATTTGTTTTCTCTATTTAAAAGGCTTGTAACCCTAATGGAGAGGGAGGAATTGAATCTGAGATTTTGAGAGACTTTTCTTTTTGGTTCGTTTCAGAACTTTATAGAACTTATTAAGATTATTCTTGTGGCGTTCTAACCTAACTTATCATTCTTGTTCTTAATCGTTTGAGGGTGTGGCATCAACCAACTTTATACCTTTGGTTCTTGTTGCATCATAGACAATGGGTCAAGGCTTTCACCTTTGGTTCTTGTTGCGACATAAACAATGGGTCAAGGTCCTATTATATATTTGATTTAGTTTTCTTGGAATTTAGAAATCCCTTGTCGTGCTGTGGGTCTCATTGTTTTCTTTAGGGTTCTCATCAGTAGGAGTTAAGAAAACAACAACTAAAAGTCTACTAAAACCATGATGCAATATGGCAGTAAGTACAATGAGAATAAAGTAGAAAACATAGCAAATTCTAGTTACTTTTGAGAGCAATTCTAGTCAGATTTCTAGCTGAAACTTCGAACAAAATTCACAACCTAAAATTGATTGATCTAGGTTGAGTGGTCAACAGATAAATTATAGCCCTATATCTTAGCATTCTATAGCCTTAAGAATCACCTTAATTCCATATCTACAAAGAAAGTTATGACCAAAATACGGACTTAGGGTCAGGCTGCTAGTTAAGTTTGTCAACAAAAATCAAAGTTGTAGCAAAGTTTTCACCATGAAAACAGCTTAATTGGGTTAAATGTCCAACATAAAAGTTGTAGGGCTATCTCTTAGCTTTCTATAGTATCAAAAATGGATTTAATCCGATAACTACAGAAGGAGTTATGGGCAAAAAACTATAGCAAGGTCATGTTGTCAGAATTTTTCTAGCATAAAGAAGAATCAAACCTAATGATGTTAGATTATGGGCAAAATCAAGGGGAAACTACAGAAACACTCCCAAAATTGAAAACCCTAAATGATTAGATGAGAAATCAGCTACATTTCAAATCAAAGACGAAAATGAGAAACGTGGCTAATTTCTTACCAAAAAAGTTGCAGGAAGAGCACCCATTGAGCAATCCATCAACAACAAGAAAAAAGGAACAACCAGCAAAATTTGTGATTCGAAGAAGAAGAAGATGCATTGTAGGAGGAATAGGAGATTGAAGGCTTCAAGGGTTTTGGATTTAGAATGGAAGAGGAAAGGAAAAACCAGAAAGAGAAGAGGGAAACCTGAAAAGAGAAGGGAGAAAAATAAAAAGGGAATTAGGTTTTCTTTTCCCTTTTATTCTATTCGTCCATCCCTTTCACTTTTTTTTACTGCTAACATCCCCAAAGATTGAAGAGTTGACAACTTGGTCCCCTATTAAAATCCCTTTTTAGATTAGTCATCTCATACATAAATTACTTAATTATTCAACATAAGTACTCAAAATTTTGGGGTATTACAAAATGACATCCTAAAAAAAATGTGGAACACTACATTTGAACACTTCAAATAAAAAACTAAGTCTATTAAATTTAAATGGAAGGAGTGTCTAATAGTAGATTCAAACATCCTAACTCATAATTTTTCTTTAGTTAAAATATCAATTTGGTTTCTAAACTTTTAAATTTGTAACAAAAAATGTCTTTAAACTTATAAAAGTAACTAATCCTTAATTTAATTTTTCGCTAATATAGACAACTTTTCCATCAAATTATTCATCTTTAATTTTAAAGGAAAATGATTTAGAAACAAACCTTTTGATGATTTAGAAATAAAATTTTTGTACAACCTTTTATATAACCTTATGTATATCATTTACATGATTAACTCTTTTATACATTGAAGACCTACGATATTTAGTGCATCCACTCATTTAATGGCATGCTAAAATTGTAAAAAAAGATTATAAAAAAGATTTTACAAAAAGCCTGTCTCCATATTAGTACCCTAATTTCAATGGCAATTTTTGAAATTTTATGACTAATGTGGAAAAGGAAATGGTTTTTTTTAGCCTTACAAACAAATCTTACCTATTAAAGGCAGTTCCAATAGCAACTTTAATGGGCTAAAGTGGCCCAATATAGCAACCCTAAACATTGTTTTGATGGTATAAATGTTTCTATTGTTTTGTGTTCTTCTAAAGATTTAAAAAATAGCAACAAACTACCCCCCATGATTGCTCTATCAAAGGATTTTTTTGCCATGATTTGGTAGTTCAATCCTGTGATTCACCATAGGATGATGGTCTTAACTCATAAGATCCAAATTAACAATTTATTTGGTGGAGGAAAAGAAACAGAATCCTTAAATCAAAATTGTTACAGAGGAGAGATATGATGGTATTAACAATACCTAGTTCTTGACACCAGGACATGACAAAGAAACTGGCTCAAAAGAGACTCAAGAGACAACTTACTTGGTCAATGCTTTGATGTCTAGTTTCAACATCACTTAGCTATTATCTGTGTTTACTATAGGTTTTCCTAGCAAATAGAGGTATGTTCTTTCTTTTTTCCCTCTTTTTTGTCCTTATATTATATAGTGATTGAATTCTCTTTGGTTTGAATAGAGTTGAGAGATTCCTTACTCTAAATGTTGGCCACATTTGGTTTCCATCGATGCCATTACAAGCATTGTTTTTAAAACTGAATTGGAGGTCAAACCGTTTTGACCTTTGGTTCATGACTTTGTGGTTGAATCAGTTTGATCAATTAAAAAACTAGGTTGATTGAATTTTGAAAATATATGTTAAATATAATATAATGCAACACATTACCAAAAGTTAGAAGTAGCTCTAATGGTTGGGAGTCCTTATTTGTTTCATATAGAACTTGAGTTCAAGTCCCAAGTGTGTCAACTTTATTCATTTATGTATTTCTATTATAATAAATAAATCTCAAAGCATCAGAAGTCAATAAACTAGGTTTAGATCAAGTGGCAAAAGTTGTTCTAATCATGTAAGACGTTAAGTGTTTGAATCTCATGGAAGCAATTTCAAGGTTTTCCTTTAGTTTTTGTAATATTCTTTAAAATGGAGTCTTTATAACCTATTCCATAAAGGACACCATTGTTCTAGTGGCAAAGGAGTTGTCAAAACTTGAGGAGGTCTCGTGTTCGAAACCCAACGATAGCAACAAACCTCCCAAAATTTGTCCCAATAATTGGCCGGTTGGTTGGATGGTTCATCGGTTTTTATTGGTTTAGACGAGTTGTACGATTTTAAACAACTTAACCCTTTAAACGATTTTAAATATCAACTCGACCCATTTCTACTACTAGGTATTGGTCCGATCAGTCTGATCGGATTTTCAAAACAATGATTATAAGTTCAAGTCCCTTTCAATCTTTGCCTCTTCACATTTTTGGTATAATTTAGGTCTTAAATCAAATTAGGTTCTCTTAATGTGCGTGTGTTATACCAAATGAATTTAACATCGCTCACTAGCATATTAAAGAACCAACTTTATGACTACATGTCATAGATGAAGGTATATTTTTCTTTCACACAATCAGACACATACACTTGCATGCACTATTTGTTGATCTTGATTTCAATTTTTAATATTTTCAGTTTTGTATGTTTTTATACCATAATGTCTTTCAATTGCTTGTAATTACTCACGTAATTTATAAATTGTTTTTTCTTTTTTTCTTATTTTTCTTTTTTTCTTATTTTTTTATATGCTTATAAAACATAACTAGTAACAAGTTGATGTTAAATTGATTGATAACTTTATAAATCCTAATACCTATGTCCATTCAAAATTGGCCCATTCCATGTTGCCCCATTTAAAGTTAGACCTAATACCACACCCCGTAACATGAACCGTCTAACTAGTTATAATAATGGAAGAAAGAGATGCTTACTAGTTCAGTACTTTGTTTAATGGTGGCTAGTTCTATCTAGTTATTGTTATAAGAACAGTGAAGGACAATTTGCCCCAAACAAATTGCACTTCATTTAAGCATTGATGGGAGGTAAGTCCTTAATATTAGAAGTTTATCCATCCATCAATAATTAAAAGTAGTGCTATCCTATACAGTCAAGTAAGAAAGTTGCAATGTCTAGCTTTAAATGTTAGTGAAGTAGAAGGGAGCAAAACCCTAGTTACTACTCTCCTCCTCTCTTTATCACTTATACTTTCTTCCTTTTTCCTTTGATTCTCTATTCTTCTCTTCTTTTTCCATAGTTTTTATTTATTTTTTTTTATTTTTTTATTTTTACTTTTATTTTTACAGTTTTCTTACAAGGTTCTTGTCTTCCCTTAAGGCTCTTTTGTATGGGAGTTCAACCTTATAGACATAATTCATATAGGTCTTATCATTATTTTATGTCATTTTCATTGAAGATTCAGAGTCAAAGAGGTGGTTAAAAATATTGTGTTGCCTTGGAATGGTTTTAACAACAAACTATCTCAATAATTACCTTTTCATTTTTTGATCCTAGTAGATTATACTAACTTGTGACTTCACTATCAGATAAAATCTTGGGTTCAATTATAAAATATATTAAAAGTTGTCTTTGTCAGCTAAATTGGGCTTGTGATATTGTCCACATTGGAATACCTTGTCTAATTCATGGTTAAGGGCTTGTCAAATCCACATATCACACACCTTAGCCATAACTTGCTAACATTGCCATATTGATAAAATGACGTTAACTATGCCTTTATCATTTGTCATATTGGCAAGATGATATTAACCATGCCTTTGTCACTTTATTGACAAGATAATACTTACTACACCACTAGGCCTTCATTAGTGAGATGGAATAAACCATGTCCTCATGAATAGTCAATTTCGTCTTTAACACCAACACTATTTTTTCATCACTTTATGATTACAAGCAAAAGGTATTGCATTTAGATGAAATTTTGATGATCAAAGTTTCAAACACATCCTTCAAATTGAGGCACAAAATTGTGCACAAGATGCAATATTGGCACAACCTTAATTTAATTGTCACGCCCTAAAATCAGGAGCGAAACAGATGTCGTACATTTGTGAGAAGATCCCACAAATGCATAAAGCTCAGAACCTACTTAATTCATTATGTACAATTCACAATTGGTAATCCACTAAACTAAGATCAACAATCTCAAAATAAAATTCTAGCTTTCAATGACCAAAGTTTGATTAGGCCAAAGAGCACAAAAATTATATAACTCCATCAATAAGGTCATGACAATCTCCAAGGGGATCTAGTCTACAAAAGAATGATCTATCTTCCAATATCTATGTCCAAAAATATATGTGACTAATGGCCTAACTCCAAAATAATCTAAGTCCAAAATACTTCTAGCTTGTT